CGATACAGACATCGCTGCAAGCGATGGGTTTGAGCCATTTTCACTTTTTATTTGAGTGCGACATGTATCATGAAATGTTGGAAGACTGAAAACCATCATCAGTTGTACCGATACCTGCATCGTCGCAGGTTTCAACCTGTATGGGGGCCTTTAGGCTTTCCTCTTTTATTACCCTTCGGTCACACGCATTCGCGCTTTTTAAAAATATCCTAGATACTACAGAATTTACAGGTTTCCTCGATTTAGTCTTCGTCGAACCTAAGAATACACACCGGACGCGGAGGGTTGTTAAAGAATCGAATTCGCTTTCCGTTGACGTCAATATTTTTCTAATCGCAAACACTCTTAGGTGTAAAACGCGTGACATGACTTAGCATTGTCCCTTAACAATTTAAATCGCGTAAGACCCAAATTGATCAGTTAACCCTTTAAGAGAAGGGAGCGAGTGTAATCACCGCAACAAGCTGCGCCGAGCAGAATGGACGCATCCGTCTTCACGGCTTATTTGTATTTTAATAATGGATTATGATTGTTAACGAACAGTCTTCAATGATCTATAATTATAAAGAATCGAACGAATTGGGCACGTTCGTTTCATCGATGAACAATACGCATAGTCGGTTTAGCTCGAGGAATTTAACCCTTTGCGGTTTGAAGTGCTATCTCTTTAACACTGTGTTTACGTAACGCATCAATTCTTGATTTTCGACTTTATAAATATTCTTTATAAACAAACTGTGATGCTTGTCCATTTATATCTTGGAAGTCAAAGATTTGAGGATAGACAATTGGTACGTACAAACCTAATTGCATCAATCAAAATTGACAAAAACGGTTACTAAATAATATCGGTACTAAAACAAAGACGATAATAATAATAAAATTTTATATAGGATGTTATAATATTAAATAAATACTAACCCAGACTTAACTCAAATGATCGCCCAGCGCGACCTTCAGTTAGAAAACAAAGGTGGTCGGTGTAATGCGTAAGTATCAATATTATTTAATAAGTGTTTTCGTCGATTTTAACTTCTAAAATTTTAACTGAAAACTTTTACAACTATCGCAGGAGAAGTCTAAAACTTAATTGGGGAAATACGATTAGACTCGGAAAATAATTTTATGTTAAAACTTCGAACACTTCCGACACCTTCGATAAAAATTGTGTTAATAATTTCGAAGGCATGAAGGATTTTAGTATTCAAAATAATCCATCGTATTACTCAGATTTTAATTTTAATTTCAATTCAGATTTTTACTTCACCGTTTAAAATAATTCAATAGAATATCAAATTGAAAAATGTCATTTTACTACAAGTTTATTTGAGAACATTTGACAAACGCTAAAACTATGAATATTTATATACGAAATAATCATGTATACTATTACGAGTAGTTACTACACGTTTAACAAATAAATTGGTGAAATATCTGACTATTGGAAGAAAATCAAGTGTCAGGTCTACTTCTACCTAGGACCGCAAAAAGTTAACCCCTTGCGCCGTAAAAAGAGGGGAAGTTTGCCAGATGTTAAGAGTAAAACTCACACAAACTAACGGAAACTAACTTTCTGTTAGAAGTTGCAAGATTCGATCTCTTAAAAAATGGAATAACCGTTGTACGCGTGAAAAATTCAGTATAAACCGGAAAAATGGCGAAAAGATCGTCACAAAAAATTTCAAAAAAGGATACAAATAAAACTTAGTTTTATAACATCTTGTATTTGATAGATTTTTCATGTTTGTATTATAATTAATCCCAATTATTGTATCATATTATAATTAGTACCATTTAATTGTTCGCGATAAAAGCTTTTTTACACGTGTACAAATTGACGGCTTTTGATTAAGGAAACAAAAATTTTGTGTTTAAATGAATTTGCATTACCTTGAAGAACACCGCCAACCGCACATACTATTACATATTAGCACCATATTCAAGTGGCTGCAACCACTTGCATTTGAAAGAAAGAATAATCAACATGTAGCGCTAAATTTATCTACTAAATATGTTGAAATTTCTGGACAGCTCAGTTTGAACATTTATTGAAACAGTACAGTTTTTAGCGAGTAAAATTATTGAATAACACAGTGTTTGTGTCGTACTCAACATTAACTGGTATTCTATACGTATTAAATCAATTTTAACACTTTTATCATTTTATTATAATATTACCTATAATATGGTGTAAATAAAAACGTATAATTTTGTTTAAAACAATAACGATAATCCTGAATATTATATTACAGAAATGATAAATTATTATTATATTACAATGACAAATTTTGTCTTCAAATCGTAGATGTAAATTTTATTGCAAACTATTCTTCTCTGTATAATCAGAAAGAACAGAAACATTTGAAGTGAACAAGATGGGATACCCTGTATAAGGGCAGACTCTGTACTCGGTTGTACCACTTGTCTCATCCACCCCGTGAAGATCATTCTGACTCTTCAGATGATTACTGAATTAACTTGGTTTATTTTTAGATAATTACTGAATTAACCCATTTACACAGCGGTTAAACGCTGCTCAAGCTTTTTGTAACAGACGATCGTGCTTTGGACAATTATCACCGTTTCGAAATTTCTTAAACGTTTATTATTTGCTAGTGCAAGTGAATTTTTCGTAGAAAATTCAGAAAACAAATAACTTACATATAATTTAACGTAAACTTTTTATTTACAGGTAATTTATGGTTTATATTTTAAAATATTTGTATGCTTCGATTGATCGAACGTTCATTATTAATAAAAAATCATTCATAGGAGTGATTATTATAATGTGTTTACTCATATTTTGGTTTGTAAAAATACATGAATGTTATTCATACATTATTATTCACACATAGAATGAGTGAATTTAATAGATTTTATTAGTATTCTTTAATCGATTGAGATATAAACTTTTGATTATTTCATTTAGCCCTCGAATAAATACAAACTTTTAAATACTTTCCATTGTTTCCACAATTAACGGTCTAGTTTATTCTTGATATGAAAGCTCGTTACTGCCACGTGTAGAATTATGCTTGCGAATGCAATTAGATAAATTTGAAAGTACTTGTGTCGCATATTTATACAGAAACAATAATAATAACGAAACTAAAATCATTCTTTCATACTGATGAATTATGAAAATTCAGTAATAATAATAAATCACAAGAACTAATGACAATTTTATTCATTTTGCTGCGAGCATTCTATTTTCAATCATTTCAAAATCTCTCGTAATATTTTTCACATTAATGCATAATAATTATAATACAAAAAGTACCGTGAAAATCGAGAACTGAATATATTTTACACAGAGTATCTGTTCTTTAACAACCGACACGATTATCGTGTCTGTAGTACACTAAATCGTGATTAATTTTTAATCGAGTTCGCAAGTGGAATATATGCGCCCCAAAAAGGTTTTAACCTTTAACCCTTAACTGGCTGGGCAGGGTGGTATGAGGGACAGTTTTCTGAACGACTAACAATTTATTACGATCAAAATTTTATTATTGTCACTTGTTTAAACCACTCACCTTATAATATCAAATCGTAATACATCCATTGGAATTCAATAAATTTTGCTATCATTTGTCTCTCGCAAATCGATGTGAAATACCATTTTTAAATGATCATTGAATTATGAGCACGTACCTCATAGAATTCTTTCTTTTTCTACCAAAAAGTCTACTAAAAATGATTAACGATTATTAAAAATTATTGAAAATAATGTAGCTTTCATACATGTTAAAAGAATTTAATATGCTTGACGTTTTTCTTTAACATAACAGCAATCAAATTAACTTAGCAAATTTCGAGTTTGTTAACAAAACTTAGTTCACCGGTTAAGAGTTGATCCGAACATACAAGCGGATCGAGAGTAAATCTACGCTAGAAATCTCTAATTCACGTGTAGAGCTATTGAACAGTTGAATGTAATCTAGAAAGAATGATCAACCAATTTCACGACAACGATACAGTTATACAGGGTGATCCATAAATACATGTCACTACTTTAGGGTGTAAATATACAGGCCAAAACGAATAATAGAAAATGCTATATGAACGTACCTTAGTTTTCGAGTTATCGATGATTAAAGGAAATGCCCCATGATGGAAACAAGGTTGAGAATAGGGTTTGAAAATACTCAGAAAATAAAACTGATCGAAATTATTATATATTACATATTAATTTCAACTGAAATAGTTATAGAGAATCGAAATAAAGAAGTAACTATTATTAGATCGGTTCTGGTTCTGTGTAATGTCGGTTCTATAATTATTATTTTTCGATTATGTTTTTATTTTAGAGCCGGAAAATAACAATTATAGAACCGATATATCTAATAGCCCTTTTTCCAGTCGACAGTTAGCTCTCAGTCACCGCTTGATTTAATATACCAAAATTTTCAAGTTTTGTATCTAATGTTAAGTTTTGTATGACGCCTGAATATATGAAATATTCCGATGAAATAGCATTGTCTCTTAATTTACATACATTCTTTAACTAGCTAGTTTCAAAGAATATGTCGTCTATATCTCCTTTGAAAATGTTGAATGTTTCTAGTTAAAAACTTCCGAGTGCAAAGGCTTCTCTATTTCGATTCTTCGTAACTGTTCCAAGACGGTTCTAAAACGGTTCCTGTCGGTACCGAAATCGATGTCATAACTGCTTCCAACCTCTTTTTAGCCAGTTAACTACGTTTCATACTAATTCTTTCAACGATGAATAATTTTCTTCAGATAAACATGTATGTATTTCTTCTTTGTTTTGCTTTGGTTTTTCTATTAATTCATTGAAATATTCCCTAGGCGTATTCGTCCTGCGTTTGACGCGTACACGTTTCATCGTTTCGTTTCATTGCGCGCAAAACGGGAGATTTTTCAAACGAAATTCCACAGTTAACAGGTTAAAATTGGTTGGGAAACACTGCTCCAGTCTACGCATTGTTGTCCAGCGTCCAATGATCACAACTAATTCTATCATGTTTGATTTTCAGTAAGCGGGAGGGCGGGAACGGGCGGAGGCGGTGGCGGCGGGGGTGGCGCACCCCTTTATGGTCGTTTGGTAGCGGAGGAGCCCCTGCCCCCCTCAGTATGCGGGGGCGCCGGTGCCGGTGGCGGAACCGGCGGGGTTCCCCAAGAAACTCCTGCGGATATTCACGCCATGCAAGCTAGGATACCCCCTAGGTTTCGTGATCCAGCCACCGCACCCCTTAGGAAACTCAGTGTCGATCTCATCAAAACTTACAAGCACATCAATGAGGTAAACGATGCTCTTTCTTATTTTTATTTTAATCTCTTTTGAATTTATAACGAACCTTTCGAATGCTGAATTCATTCCCAGCCGAAACGTTCCGAAATGGTGGACGGAATATTTTGTTGCTCGTCTGAATATCGATGAATTATGTCAAGTAGGGGTAGAAGCACCAGTTAGTTGACCAATTAAGGCGAATTTTCCGCGTGAATAATAGCAAACGCTTAGTCCTTTATTAAACAGAGAGATACTATGCGTGAAAATGCTGTTTGAACTAAGCTTTCTTGAAATAGTTATATTATCCAAATTTGATAGACATTCTTGAAAATTCCACACTTGCGTCAAAAATTGACCACCCTTTGAAACGAGGAAACTACGTAGTAATTAACCATATGTTAGTTATTAGTTGACCACTTACAGTAAAACCGAAAACACTAAAGGTGAGATTACATTAATATCATTTATTTGCAACGTTAAGGAAATTACGATACGAAGACGTACAATCAGCGTCGATGAAATAAATGGTTAATTTTTACGAGAAACAATTCAATTCAGGTAAAAGTGTTCCGGAGTGGGGACGGTAGATGCTGTAGCATATCTGTCGCGTCTTTGTCGATATTATTACTTTCAAAAACCTTATTCTTCACGTTTCCTTTGCAAATGATCAACTACTGACACCTGGTACAATTAATTAAGTTGTAATTAAATTGTAATTGTAATTCCTCGATTTCACCATACTAATAATACATTCCCGATGTTTTCTTTTTTCAATTACCGAAAAAATAACAGATGTTTCTACGAGAAATCATTAAAGGAATTGATTTAGCGACACGCAAAGTGAATTGTAAATCGATTAAGGTCTCGATAGACGCACTCTTGAAATTTCTATAGAGGAATTTCAAAAAGTCAATTTAACTGCTCCGTAGTTTTAGTGTTAATCGCATACGCTTATAATTGTCATCACGGCGCGTGTGGGACTAAAAAGATCGGAAAACGCATATATGCGCCCACAGCACTCAAAGAGTTAACCGTTTGAGTGGCGAGCGACGCGATTGCGCTTCTCCTTTCGCCGTTACACTGTCTAAAAGTGCCGGCTTAGATTCTTGGAATCAAATTAAGCTTATTTATTTGCTTTCCTTGTAACTGTTCGTTTTTGTTTTTGTTAGTGCCTGCTTAGAAATGGCAGAATGGAATAATGGGACCGTTTAGAATTGTTTTATGTAAAAATAGAAAAAGGTTATTTAGTTCCTGAACTGAAATGGAAGCCCCATCGCACTCGAATAGTGGCCTTTATGTGTGCCTATTACGAAAGTAATAAGAAAAATTTTATTGGAAGACTTCAATTGACATATCTTTATATTTCATATATTCAGGAAAAAAGATCCATATCTCAACAGATACGGACGGTAGTCATTTTGACCAAAGAATATCCAGTTCTTAAATGAAAATTCTAATATGCAACATAGTTCTGAATATTTTTATGAAAGCGATTAGCATTAAGTAGTTAGTTAATAATAAAATATAATAATTGCAATAAGAATATTTTAAATGCATTAAAAAAAGAAGCTTCTGATAAATTCAGAAATCTTTTATTCAGTTCTCAGTGGAAATGTTAAATTTGAAAATAAGAGCCCCTATAACGCAATGTGAGGTGTATCAATCGAGTACCTGAAGGTGATAATAACGTTGAATAATTACACTTACAGTGCTATACATGAAACAAAGGAAAAGAAACCAATTGAAATTGACGTGTATTGTTAATTAGAAGTAATTTACATGACGCAAAATTCAGAGAATCAACGAAACGTGTTTGTCACTGATGCAGAACCATTGTGACTCAGCTGTTCTTGTCACAAACGGTAGAACCACGTTCAAGTGTCTCTATATGAACTTTTATTGAGAATATAAAATACTAAGCTAACGATAAATTGATTAAATGGACGTTTAGCGACGTGCTTGTTTAATTCTGTTTAAGGCTAAACGTGGCATACTCGATCAAATGACTGATACTTCCAAATCAAAAAATGTCATATTAAATCAAGAATAACCTATATTCCTCTTCACTTAGCGTTTAGTGTTAAAATCTTCACCACGAGTCTAACGCGTTGTTATAGGGTAAAGGTTAATGAAAATAAAAATTCACTAGTTGCAACATGGTTTCGTATGTTTCACGATTTTCGTAGAATTATTACAGTGAAGACTGTAAACAAGATTAATGAACTAACAATGAATGAAAAAGATTTCAGAAAATTAATGATCTAACCAAACGTGATAAAATGTTCGGTTATCTCTAAGATATTTCTTGTAATTTACGAATTACATCAGAGTTTACTCAATCACTCCCCTCCTCTCTCTATCTCGTTTGCTCGTCATCTGTTACTCGGTGCCCACCTCCTCATCTTCTTCGTTTCGATTACGTCCGCGTCTCCTTCAACTACATACCCACGTACATACTTACTTATTCGTTCACTTTCCTTTCCCTCCTAACTGTTATGTCGTTCAAGTATAAAGATATAATTGGACGTCGAATATTTATTCGAATCGCCGTTTTTCTATAGAAATTTCACGAAAGCAAAATCGATAATCGGAAATTTTATTTCCTGTAGCAATTGTTCTCCCGAATAAGCAACAACTTAAACATGTACCTTCAATTCTATTGTATTCATACTTGACAGTGTTTCTTTTTCAATATTCGTAAACAGTCTGATTAAAGAATATTTTTAATAAAACCTACATAATTGAATTTATTATTGCTGAGCTTATCATTTTATTTCACGCTCTTTCGTAAACAAACAAAATGAACACTTGTGTTTTAAACGCAGTTCATTCTTTTCTCTTTTGGAAGTTTATTGTTTTCGTTGTGTTGTCAGGGTAACAGAAACGAAACGTAATACGTAACACTTAGAAATTTAAACATTTTTAAGTAGTGTTTCACCGTCATACACTTTTTAAATGAAGTATCATGCGAACTTACAAGACTAACGTTTTCGTATAATAAAATTACATGTCTATGTTGTTTCTATATTGGTGGTTCCTACGTACTTAAAAATTATTTAGTATAGAAAAACAAACGTTATAAATGTTAATAAATGTTCGTTCAACTTTAAATTTAATATTTCTTTTACAGTGATAAACATTTGCCGCCGTATTAGACATTACCAATGTTTCTATAGGGAATTTCACACAAAATAGTAACGATAGAACAAATAGAAATTTACTGGAACACATTTTAGGTGGAACAAAAGTCGGTCATCAAAAACCGGTTCGTAGTGGGTTTCGTATCTAAAAACCGCAGGTGCAAACTTCAATGACCAATAAAATTTCAAAAACCAAATAAAACCGAAAAAATATGCCAAGAAACATTCTTGTTTGCATGTTTTCCCATAATGAGTATTTACTCCTTTCGAACGAGCTATTAGAGATCGTTATGATCTCGAGACTATGCTATTCCAATTATTTCATTTGACGTTGAATTTTAGGTATTTTTCAGTATAAATCAATTTCCTGTCGGAGTATTAGAAACGTTAATAAATTAAATAACCACATCCGTGTACCAGGCTGTGCAACAGCAAATTCTGTTATATACGACTTATTATAGATATTTAGATATACCGTAGAACCCCTAATAACGCAATTAAACAACTGTCGAAAAATAGCTATACAAATGAGATTCTTCGTAAGAAAGTAAATACAAGCAGAGAAAGAAGTTGGACCAGTAGAGAAAAAGGGAATGCAGGCAGAGGATCATTTGATCGCGTTATACGAGGTTCTACTGTAAATATGTGAATTAACACGTCGACCGCCATAGGAATTTTCATTGTTTCGTATTATTATACGAATATTATTACTTATCGTTTCATAACAAATATAAATGGCATTAGAATTAATTATTAATGAGTTGGTATCATAGCTCTTAAGCTACATTACCATTTAGCTACCTATGTAACTAAATATTTTGATTCGACATCAGTTTTCTTTTTGTAATTGTTTTCGAGCAATTTGGACGTTCAGGTCATCGGCGACCATTCACCATCAGTGGCAGTCAACGTGTTGATAGATAGGGGTATTCAATTTGATGTTCAGGTTTGATGTGCCTTGACTTCCATGTGTATGTGAAACTGAATTTATTCAGTTGACTGTTTAGAGTTAAACAATATTACTTTTGAATATGATATTTCTTCTTCACTTTTCATTAATTTCTGCTCGTAATTTGCAGGTTTATTACGCTAAGAAGAAGAGAAGGGCGCAACAGATGCAAGGAGAAGATGGTTCCCATAAAAAGGAAAGAAAATTGTACAACGATGGCTGGGATGACGATAATCATGATTATATTATCAAAAATGGGGAAAAGTTCCTCGATCGCTATGAGATCGATTCGTTAATAGGTAAAAGACTTGTTGTTGACATTATTCTTGTTAACATCGAACATTTTTAACGCGTTATAAGAATAGAAGGATATGATTTTCTTTTCTCATATGAATATATTAGTGTAATTATGTAATTAATATATAATTCACTTTTGGTTAATAGTGTGCAACAATTCGTTCTGCTCTACGTTTCATTGGAAGTGTATCTATCTTATTAATTGTTATAGAAAGTTATTAAAACGCTAGAGAATGAAAATATTACATTACAAAGTATACATAAATTGATATACTGAATTAGTAAATTGATGATGCAATTCGAAAGAAATTGATTTTAAATTAAAAAATGTGAAAAAAATATGAAATA